GGGGGGACTCGTGAATGATGTATTTGTGGTTGAAGTTGCAGATGTGCCGAGTGGAGAGTTAGTGGCGCTGGTGCGGACGGAGACTGCTGCATGGACATTGAAGATTCGAGTGACTGATGTGAAGGCTGGATATACGCAATTTGACCTCCGTTATTGTTAACACTGTGATTGTTATTGTTTATATTTTGCTTTTGTTGTTGTTGTTGTTGTTGTTGTTTATAGAATGCAGCAGCCGCCGCTACACTGGCTGCATTGGCCGCCTCGACGGCAGCGGCTGCGGCGGCACTACCAGCTAGAATATCGTTAATCATAAAACGCGACCGATTCGGCTTTAAATGAGACATTTTTTGCTGTTGACCACTAGCGGCAGTTGGTGAAGGGGTTATGACTGTCATTGAATCTTTCATTGTTCACTGTTTTCTTATTTATTTTGTAATTTGATTTCTATCTTTTATACAGGTTGATTTTAAAATTCAGATCAACCTTAATCGTATTATAGCACTCATTCACTCAGCACTACACCGAAACGGAAAACTGCGCCGCAATAACTTTCTTCGCCTCCGTCGAAACACGACTAACCGCACCTGCGAGAATTTCAGTTACCAAAAGTGTTTCATTAACTACAGTAAGACTTTAAGTTGGATAAACCAGTTAGTAAAGTGGTGGATGCTCAACCACACACATGTGTATTGGTCTCGCTTGCCATCGTAATATTCCAACTAGTACCTTTCTTTGCATGAGTGCGAACTCCTATGCCTATTCACTCATACCAATTAGGCCGCCATGATTCAAACTCTCTCCGCCTCAAATGATACTCCACCGTCTCTTCTTAAAAACATACTCATATGTATGTACATATGTATGCATGTTGTGTTGAAAGGAGGGGTATGAGGTGTATTAAATAAATGATTTACCGGCTCGGTGTTTTTATAAAGAGTACCTAGTATGCATATATATATGTCTGAATACGTGCGTATGAAATCTTAATTCAATATTTTACACCCATTAGATAAAAAGCTTGTAAAAATAACACTCAAGCACTTTATTGCTCTCATACATATACATATACACACAAAAGAGAGCTGTGTTGAATTTGCTACGTTATAGGGGAAAATCTTATGAAGTCAGTCAATTTGTAGCAAATATATGTAGATATTTTCGTGGTGAAATATTATGCTATAAAATAGGAGGCCCTGTATGTATTGGTTGTTCCCCTTGCAAAGGCGGTTTAATGTACCCTTGTATGCCTGTACATACCTATATATGTACGTACATATGTATGTACATAGCTAACTGTGATGTTTTGTATGTGGCTTACATATCTACAAAGTATGTGAAATGCAAAGGACATAGAACAAAGATGCTGCATAATTTCTTCGGCTTTCATATTTAATAGAAAACATAGAAATTCAAATTGATTTTTATTGGAATTATACTTGTCGACAGGCAAGAAGGGCGTTCATATATTCGATGCCAATACATACATACATATGTATGTATGTATCGTTAACGTAATTTGAAAAGGCCCTAACCAACACTTTTTTCGAAACTGCGTTTTTCACAGATTTTTGTAGGACAGGGCTGGCGAACCAAAGGTACGCATGCCATTGATGGCCATGCAACAAAATAATTTGGCACGTTATTAATTGATGATCCAATTCCTCAATCACTAGTAGTAGTTATTACTTAATCAAAATAATTTCTTTTTTACGTTTAAATTGGAGACCAAAGCAAGATCTATTCTCACCCAACAATATACATATGTATGTAGCTTAGAAATGCCAAAAATAGAGACAGCAATAAAAAAAAAACACAAATGAAATAGGTTCTAGTGCATCATTCACCAATAAGCCACAGTTTCGCCTCCTCCGTTGTAATATTATGGCCGTAGTCACATGGTGAAACCCATATCTTCGCAGGCATAAAATAAATAGGGGTATTCTCTGAGTCTTGCAAAGCCCTTGCACGGTGCACAGATTGCATGGATTGCACGGCAAAAACCGGGTTTCGTATGGGACAGCTACCCCTAATGAAGTTTTGAGGATTTTACGTAAGCTTGCAAAGTTTGTGGTTTTTACGGATATGTGCCAGAAATTATTGTATTTGAACCTAAAGTTTCAAGGCGATGGACTCACATGAAAGAGCAGACGGAGCAAGAGGCACCGAAGAGTTTTCGTTCGGAATAAAATCCGTCATCGAAGTTTTTCTGAAGCCACAGAGTTATCGGAAACACTCAAGTTTATTATGTATCCTGGTGCGACCTTAATTGGTAAAATGAACTTGTCTAATTGGGTTGTATGCGCAGCTTTTCGGCCGGTAAATTCAAAAGGCAAAATTTATTTTTCCTTCTCTCTCCTACGCGTTTCGCCGTCCTTCACGCCTTCTTCAGGGAGTCTGATATTTATTTAAAAACACAAAACATAAAAACACAACCACCCTATAGGAAAATTAAATAACTGGCCCTAGAAAAGTATGAACTTGTCTATATTTGATTGGTTGGAAATCGAAATTTTTTAATGGAGCTCATTGAGCTGCTGTGTAATTTAACGTGGACTAAACTTTTTTTCGAAACAAGGAAAGTGTTGGAATCATTCGAATTAGAAATACCCAAAGCAAATTTAACCAAAAATGCTAATACTAAAATTTTCGAAACTTTGAATTCAATTTCAGACAGCAGAAGAAGAATTTTCGAAAATTGAAATTCAATTTCAGACAACGGAAGCTGGCGTTTGCTATGTTGAAAATATTATAATCTACCTATGCATGTGAGTCCTTACCACTTACGACCTAAAGGTACCTACACAGAGACATTTAAAGGCGGATTCATCATTTTAGTTCAGAACTTTTCTTTCATGGGGCTGTCGCTGAGTTTCTCTCCCAGACAGAAGAAAAGTTTAGAACTAGAACGATGAATCCACCTAAAGGGCCGCTTAATTCGTTTAAAAAAAAAAAATGTGTGCGATTATGTGTCAATTAATGTCTCCAAGAACAGTGATAAGCCATGATGTCTTGTTGGCACGTCAATCACGTGTCCTATACATAAATTGTATTAAATAATTCAAAAGCATGTGATCATTTTCTTTAATGTATAGAGTCAGAAACAATCAGCACGAATCGGAGTATATCCTTATCCTTACTAATATTATAAATCCGAAAGTGAGTTTGTTTGTTTGCTATGCTTTCACGCTTTAACTACTCAACCGATTATCATGAAATTTTGTACACTGCTGTCATTTAGTCCAACTTAAAATATAGGATAGGATAGGATTTAATCTCGATTAGACAAGGGGGCGTGGCACATCCCATACAAATGGAATTTTTCATACTGCATTTCTCAGGAAATATTTTTAATAGATTACTGAAACTTGGTATGGAGATATATAAAATCATTATCTACTCATGGATGAGGGCTGCCACCTTTTAAAAAAATCAAATTCAACTTCAATTAAGGCAGCTATTTATTTAAAAATTATATTAAAAAATGGAAGTCAAAGGAAGGCTTAAAAAAGCTGTATCTCGAATATATTTTGAAAAGGGTTGCCACCTGTTTGAAAAGTCAAATTTAAATTAATTATACGCAAGCTATCTGAAGAAAAAAATATGGTTGTCTACCGAAATATTGTTAAGAAACTTTTAGTTCGAACGTTTTGAATAATATTTAACTCTTCACTAGGGTTGCAACCTTTTTAAAAAGTAATTTAAAATTAATTATTACAGTAAAAGGCGCGCAATGGTTCTGGCAGTAGAGATATCGGTGGTGATTTGAGATTTACCCTTGCACAACTCATCCCTGGTGTCTACGAATGAAGGTTTAATAATAACAGATTGGCGCTTACACATATGTTAGTGTTTGGCCAAGCTTCTCCTCCGACTTGTGGCGTGCGCCTTGATGTTGTCACACAAAGCGGAGGGACCTAAAGTTTTACGCCGACAACGAACGGCGATTGTATCTTTATGAGAAGCTGTTTTTCATGGCAGAAATACACTCGGAGGTTTGCCATTGCCTGTCGAGGGACGACTGCTGTTAAGAAAAAACCGTTTTTCTATATTTTTTGCGATGTTGCTTTGACCAGGGCTTGAACCCAGGTGCTGGTGAGTGAAAGCGCGCACTGCTTACCACTACACCACAGCGGTCGACACGAATGAAGCTTTAACGTATAATAATACTGGCAAATTACATCCGTTGGGCCAATCGTAACACACAAGAGTTCGATATACTCAGTGGTACAACTTGGCGATTATTCGTAACGACTGCAGCGCCACCTGGCAGCCATTTTGGCAATAGTATTGCCTTTATCGTTACCAATACATTTCTTGCATATTAGCCAAAGTGGATCATAAATAGGATTTTTAGTAATAACTTAACTCCAGCGCCAACTGGTGGGTGAAATTGTGAAACTACACCATCCTGAGAGCCACTCCAAAGCACACAAAAAACTTCGTTAAAATCGGTCCGGGAATTTAGGAGGATTTCACTAACAAACGCACAAAAGGATTATATATATACGTTTGTATGGTGCCACGTCCTCTTTTCAAATAGCCCATTTTTCTCCATGAGTATAAGATTGATTTCATATGTCGCCGTACCAAGTTCCGGTATTCTACCACGAACACTTCCAGAGATATGCAGTATGAAAAATTTGGCTTGCATAGGAGGTGCCACGTCGCTTTTCCCAATGGGAGGTACCACGCTCCCTTTTCCAATAATGAACGAAGTATGAAAAAATCTGTTTGTATGGGAGGTGCTACGCCCCCTTTATATATCGAATTTTGTTTTAGCCTATAACCATCCTTGGGACGTCTGAAACATCAAAATGGAATTTAAAAAAAAAATTGGTTCGGCCGTTCTCGAGATTTGCGAACACATAAAAAACGGCTTTCAATATATATGTATTAGTATAGAAGATTGGTATGAATCGAAATGGTTTTGAATATGTATCACAGTATGTATCACATAGGCTACCAACTGTTTAAAAGGGTAAATTCAAACTATTCAATAATTTAAATGAATTATTACAATATGGGTATCAATCGAAATAGTAGTTTTTAAAGGGCTTCATTTCAAAACTACATGAAATAGGTTTTCATCTGTTTAAAATCTCAAATTGAGTTCAGGGGATAAGTTAATTGAAAAAGTATGACAAGATGGTTCAAAAAACTTTAAAACGCCCTGTTTTTTACTTGAGTTTTCTTGAAATAAATTTTTAAATTTCATACTCTCAGCGAAGCGGGTGAGGGCGATCTAGTTTCTAATAAAAACCAATAACGAAAGGGCAATTATATTGTGAAAAATAATTAAAAGTAAAGTCTCTGATATTTCAGGCCCCTTAAAAAGCTCGCGCCTGGGGGGGATTCATCCCTTTACCCCCTCCATCTCGACGGGCCTGCTCATAGGTGGAGGAACAATACAACATTAATACAAATAACCACTTTCGCAAAATAATGGCAACTTGTGAGGCGTCATATTTAAATATTACCATAGTGTATTTCTTATATTTACTACTCCCTGACCGCAAAATTGCCTGCAAAATTAACCGCAAACTGCCGTTGGCAATTTTTTGGGTAAGTTTTGATGATTCAGGCGATAAGAGTAAAACG